TTTAAATTCTTACGTGAGACTCATTCTAGCACAACTATAGGTATTTTGTCCTAACGAATTTTATCTTACTACTGGTCCAATCATTAGCCGATAACTCATTAATTTCTTACATAATTTTGGGGTAAAAAGCGAGTCTTGGCTCTAGCAGCCATCACTGACTTAGGGCTCGTTTGGGATTGCTTCTTTAGGAAGTACTTCTTCTCATAAGCGCTTTTATTATAAAAAAAAACATTGAATTTTCATAAAAATTTAAAGTGCTTCGTGGAAAAGCACTTGGGAGTGCTTCCTGAAGAAGCACATAGCAGGTGCTTCTCCAGGAAGCGCTTCTATGATCCAGAAGTGTTTCTAAACTTTTCTGCCAAACGCTGTCAGAAGCGCTTTTAGTTATCAGAAAGCGCTTTTGGCCCTTCCAGATGCACTCCCAAACAGGCCCTTAGAGAATTTTTGAGAGCATCGTTTTCTTCTTTGCTTTTGCTCTCCTTCGAGTGAGGTCTGCATATCCTTTAAAAATGAGATTTTCATCATGTTTTTGAAATTTGCTTTGTGTTTTTAAAAAATGCATCCAGAACACATCTTCATTCATCATCAATTTCTAGGACAGATTCATGGATTAATTTCTTCAAGAATGATTTTGCAATTCTATTTGCACTGCATTTGGCTTCCTTGAACAACACTGTATTTGTAATTGTAAAATCCTCAAGCTCAAACTTGCTTAGTCTAGGTTAGATAGGTTGAAGAAGGCCTCTATGACTTAGACAAATTGCAGCTCCTGAGATAATGACTCAAAGGTAATTTGTGGATTTCATACATTAGAATACATCAGTTTTTTGTAGAGTCAATTCATATGATCAGTCATCTATTGGTATACATGTGTATTGCTAGCTCATTTAAATTCTCACGTGAGACTCATATTGAAGTGAGTCTCCTAAAAATCCAATTCCTACATCAAATTCCTCAAATCAAATTCCTCCAATCAAAATCCCTCACATTCTCATATCACTTTTTACTTCCCTTATTGCAAACTCACAGAAGCATGCAGACTTGTGCTTCTATCAACACCACCAAAGGTTCCATTTTTCATACGTCCTCTCAAAAATCCGCATGGATTATCTGTTAGAAATGTGCCCTAAGAGCGAATACATTTGATGTAATCTCCTTAGAATACATTTCGTATATGATATATAAAGGTCAAACTTAATTTGTTATCTTTTACATTGTGTAAAGAAACAAATGTCCAAGGTATGCTATATAAGAGATAAAGTAATCTAAAGAAGATTAGATTTGGGAGACCTTTAATCTCTAACTGTAGCATCCCCAAATGTTCCTAATCATAGGTTATCAAATGGGCATTGATCAACCGTCAAGATTAGCACATATTATGTATGCTCATTTGGGAGGATGGTTAGTCTCAAACCATTTGTGTAGTTGCCACTAATACAAGTATGTGGGTGCTCATTAGTGAATGAGTACACTGAACGCGGTCAACCGTAGTTCTCATATGGAGTATTTATCTACGTGTCAAATGAGAACTCATAGTTGCAATAATGCAAATTAGTTCCAAGCCCTGAGGCATCATGGTTGTCTTGTGATGCGTTATTGATCTTTGATAGCTCTTAAAGGCAAGCCGTAAAAGATTTGTCTTAAGTGTTGTTGGGATCTCTTAATTCACCATAGGGGCATGTGAATGTACAATAAGGAATCTCTACTTTCGATAAAGAAGTAGAATGTTTCAAGATGTGATTCAGTAAATCTTTGGCCAAAGTATTTTGAGCTTGATTTAGAAAGTTGTTCTTAATCATGTTCTTTTGAATCACATGAGGTTATAAATCATATTAGGGGTTTGACATAAACAATCCGTACCCTAATAATATGATTTGAAACATTGTATAAGAGAAGGACCGTATTGCATTGCAATTCCAACTGAATAGGTTCTTCATCTATTCTGGTTAGCTTGGGTAGCCTTGATATATTGTTAGATCTCACTCTTGGCTTGTGGAAGTCCTAGGATTGATTGTGATCGATCCAAATAAAGGAAGAATTAAAAAGGGGTTTTAAATCCAGTTGGTTAGAAAGAGTTCTAATATTTTCCCACTGCCTTGCTAATTAGAACCTAATGGATCGCACACCTTAAATGGTTAACTTTGAGCAATACAAATGAGAATGAAGAAATCAATTTGATTGATTTGATGTTGATGATTTACTACGTGTAAAAACGTATTTGGGCCTCGGTAATAGTTAACGGGAAGCCCAAATGGTTGGGTATCAAACCCAAGGGCTTAAGACACCTAAAGATTATGGTTTAAGTGTCATAAGGCCCAATTTTGGAAGCCCAATGGGGTTTGGCCGAAAATGATTAAGTGAATGTGTATGGGAATTGTTTCCATAAGCTAATTAACACACAAACACAATCCAACATCAACAAAATGGGTTTGGAAGATCAAAGAGAGAAAAAAAAGAGAGTTTTCAAGAGTGAAACACTTTCATCATTCAAAGTGGTTTAGATTGAAACCAATCTTGAGAATCTTGCACTAGCATCCAAGTATTCTCAAGATACTTATTCTCATCTCAAGGTTCCATTGGTGTGGAGACTTAGAGGCCACATATTTTTGTGGCTCACATGGAGGAGAAAGATCATGGAGCAAAGATTAAAGATCAAAGAGGAGATCAACAAAGAGGAAACCATCAAGAGAAGACCAAACACAAATTGGTTCATATAATTGCTTCAAGGGTAATTAGATCTTATCATTTCTCTTGAATTTTCATTTATGAAAAACATATCAATGTTCATGGCTTAAGATACTTGGAAGAAGTTTTGTTTTTGAATTTAAACAACCACCATAGACTTCCGCTGCGATTAATTTGATTAAATGCATGTTTAATATTCAAATGAACTTTGGAAAAATGTTTTGAAATTCCTACATTATCGACTCAGGTGCTACGAATTTCATGACTCACTTACCAAGTTGGGCATTTGTGACGTATATGCACCAACTTGAGGAGGAGTGTTGAAGTGAGTCTCCTAATTATTCAAGGAGATTTATTTCCTTGATTAATTAAGGGATTTACTTTCCTTTTTTATATAGTTGTCAAATCATTGTATAATTAGGAGATACTTTCCTAATCCTTTACTGGATCTAATTCCTTGTAAAGCACTCATGTAAACTCTTATATATACCTCCTTATGGAGAAGAATAAGAATAAGAACCTAACATATTCAAACCCATATTCATATTTTAGCAACTCATTCTAGCCTAACTATAGGTATTTTGTCGTAACGAATTTTGTCTTACTACTGGTCCAATCATTAGTCGACAACTCATTAATTTCTTACCTAAATTTTGGGGGTAAAAAGCGAGTCTTGGCTTTAGCCGTCATTGACTTAGAGAATTTTTTAGAGCATCATTTTCTTCTCTATTTTTTCTCTCCTCTAAGCGAGGTCTGCATATCCTTTAAAAATGAGATTTTCATCCTGTTTTTGAAATCTGCTTTGGGTTCTTAACATATGCATCTAGAACACATCCTCATCCATCATCAAGTTTTATGATAGATTCATGGATTAATTTCTTCAAGAATGATTTTTATTTTTATTTTTAAGAAATCGATCTCTTGGTTTTTGAATCTACAACTCACTACTATCATTGATCTTGAGCTGAGTCACGGTGCCATGGGATGAAGATACTGATGGACTAGCTACCATTTCCATGAAGAACATACTTCTAGCTCAACTAAGTTCGGAAAAGAAGGTTGCACAGGGAGGTAGTGCTCATTTCCTTAATGGATCTAAGATTGTTTGTGTTATTTTTTCCTATTTAGATCGGTGCACTAGATACTAAGTTATATCAGGTTTGTTAAGAGTTTAAATTAAGTTGTACCTTGAGGCCCAAAACCTTGTGAAATAAGGAAGGGTTTTGAGGCCTATTAAGGGGTCCTATTTATTTCCATTTATGCGTGAACCGATTAAGTGGGCTTGAAAGATTAGTCAAGTCGGCCCTCGGTGATGAGTAGAGACGACTTGACCTAGCCTTATATAAGCTTAAGGCCCTGCTCTCATCAAACACGTTCTCAAAACCTATTCTCATCATAAAGAGAGAGCTGAAACCGATTTTGAGAGAGAGCAGAAGTCTTGAGCCGTTCTTGTTCTTGCTAGGATTACTGCTGCTATGGATTGGATGAGTTCAAAGGCTGTGTACTCAAGGAAGATGACTCCAGGTATGTCTTCATGTCTTTATACGCATTACATATTTGTGTGAAAGATCTAAATTGTATATTAAAGAAAATCAGTTTGAGCTTGTAATTACTTTTACCTGTAAGAATCTTCTTGATTTAGTGGATTACCTGGTCGGAGTGATGACCCCAGAGTTTCCCGTATACATTATTATATCCTGAAGTGTTTAGTAAAATGTATTGCTCATGACTTAGAGATCTTGCTAGGTGGTTGTTAGAGGTTTTCTGCGATGAATAAGTTTTATTAAACTCCATATTTCTCCATTGAATGTGGTGGCCATCTTTGACTAGTTCTTCATTTGTATTTTGTTTCAAGTGTTCGCGTGTGTATTTTATTTTTAGCTGAAAATTTTAATATATAAAAAAAAAAACTTGTTGGCGGTTCCTTAGGGTATCTTTTTCTTTTCTTTTGTTATCTTTTACTTTCTAGGTTTCAAAATACACCGTCGACAAACTTGTCTTCTCTCTTGTCTCCTTGTTTCTTGACCATCTTCTTCCCCACTATGTCTCAGTCTTAATCCTTGCGTACATCTGCTCGTAGGTCTAGAACCATTCCGCCACTGTCTCCTCATCTACCTTACCTACTTCACCTCGCTCGTTCAGATCTTCTTCCCACAAGTCTATGCTGATTGGAGATGCCTCTAAATTTGTATCTCCGAGAGCTATGGTGTTTTATCGGTCTATTGTCTCAAATTGGAAGTTCATTTCTGAGTGCACCGACAACATTGACGCTCTTTCC